ATTCTTACTATGTCCAGAGGTTTTTTGTATAGTGTCATGATATATTGTAAACGTTCAGCTTCAGTGTTTTCTGGGATCACAAAGCTAGTATGACTAACTTTTGTTTGTTAGACTAGTATCTGGAAGATGTATTTTTGCAACTCAATGACTACTGTATTTTTCAGAGTATAAGACGCACCAACATTTCCACACTCTTCTAAAGGGGGGAAAGGTGCGTCTTATACTCTGAAAAATACAGTAGTCATTGAGTTGCAAAAATACATCTTCCAGATACTAGTCTAACAAACAAAAGTTAGTCATACTAGCTTTGTGATCCCAGAAAACACTGAAGCTGAACGTTTACAATATATCATGACACTATACAAAAAACCTCTGGACATAGTAAGAATTTATCCACATTCTGTTATAAAGGGCACATTTAATATTACATCCAACCAGAACAATTACCTAATAAATGTTGGTGCTATTCTTAGTACAATTGTACACTTTTCTTTTTTGGGATTTCCATCATAAAATATATCCCGAATAACTTCTGAATCCGATGTTACACATGTCCCTGCTCTGGTGGTTGGTATTCCTAGATGAAACATGGCTTCACTGCAAAGGAATTCTCTTATGCTCGATCTCAAAACTTTACGACCATCTGCTTGTCTGAAAATAATGAAAATAATGTGCGTAAATATGATGTAACTTCAAAACTCAAAGCTAAACATAGCACATCGGGCCCAGAAATCATCTTACATGTTAAAGGAACCAAAATGAATTTGTTATTTTTGCTTTAAATATTTTCCAGCTCGAGTATTTCCAATCTAAGAAGCATGACTGAATGGCTTTAGTATCATCACAGCTTGAGACAATAGTAGCTATACTACTATATGGCTTTACAACTATAAAATGATCATTTCTAACATTTTAGAAATACAATTGAAAACAGAAAATGGGAGACAAATATGGGAGAAAAAGGAGTGAAACTTGGCAGATTAGAATCACAGACCTTCTTAAAAAAATTGATTCCCATACCACACTGTACTATAATGTAATTTGTTAACTTTGATGTTGCATCAAACTATAGGTTTATCATTTAATGTGACTAAACTCAATCTGGTTGAATGATTCTTTTGTTATCCAATGGCTAAATAAACCATCATGTTTTAATATTTTATTTGTACATTGCCCAGAATCTCTTTTTGAGAGATCAGTGGTTTCTAATTAGACCGATAAAAGGCATTAGGGCTAGAAACTGGGAGACCGTGAGCAAGCAGGTTAACTCTATGCCAGTCTGTCTCACTCAGCCCTAGGAAAGATGCAATGGGCAGCCGCTTCCAAAACCTTGCCAAGAAAACAGGGACTTGCAGTGTGTGTGGGGTGTGTGTGTGTGTGTGTGTGCGTGCTTGTTGTGTTGTGTAGGGAAGGGAAGGAAATCCACACAAATTAGATCTTGCTGCTTTTATTTATTTCATTATTTTATTTATTGGAATTTGTCAAACAAAAACAAGAGAATAAAAATACAATGACAGGGATGATAGGCACGTTAGTGCACTTATGCATGGCCCCTCTACTGACCACAAGTATGAAGTAAGGTATGACTGAAACTGTGAAAATTTGTAGCGGAGACAACTGAATCAGATAGAGCATTCCAGACTTCGACAATTTTATTACAGAAATCTTTGGGAAAAGAATTTCAAAGTTTGAATGTGACCGATCACAAACCAATTGGGGAATAAATCCAGAAGTGGATTTACCTAAACAGAGACACATGGCCATCTAAGTCCCAACATTTGTTTTGTTTAGTAATCTAAATTAAAACATCCCTGAGAATCATTGCTTCAGCCCATATCAGCTTCCATGCACCTTTTTATGTAGAGTCCAGATAATTGTACCTGACCAAACGGCTTGGCTAAGACAAGGAACCAAGTCCTATACAGGATCCTAGAGCTGGAAGCAGGCCTGAGGAGAGGGGGGTGCAGCTGGTACATTGTTCCAGGGCCCAAGGAGCTCAAAGGGATTTTTTTTTTAAAAAAATACAAAACTAAATTTTTAAAAAGAAAAACAGTATTGGCTTTATACTCATTCCCTACTCTCTACTTTGTGTGTATAGCAAAACCCCTTGCCAGCCTTGTTTGACATAACCTTTATTAATCTGAAACTCAGTGAACAGTTATGTAATTAATTGAATTTTAGTTTCATGACTCATTTATTTAGGTTTGCAAGTATGTTTGAATGTAATTAATAAACATACAATTATGACGTTATTGGTTTATGTGTAGGTGACGGGGGCTCATATTAGTCTTGTTCCAGCACTTAATAATCCTCTCGGCAGCCCTGGCTGGATCTCAGAGGTCATCAATCCCAACCCCCTGCATGCTGCACGGGTCACTGCCACTCACCAACCCCCAAGGGCTTCTCGCACTCAGCAGCTGGCAAGTTCGGCTACCCGATTATGTACATACATACATACGCACGCACACACCCCTCCAGTGACTCCTCCGCCCCTCTTTACCTGGAGAAAGGGGTGAGCCCGGCGCCCTTGAGCTGGATCTCCCAGCGCTCCCCTGTCGGGTTCAACACCTCCCCCAGGTACATGGCCGCGCCGTCGCCCAGCTGCCCAGCAAAGTTGCCGAACTGGTGGCCGCAGTAGCAGTGGGCAGCCGGCTCGGCTCCCGGCAGCGGGCGGTTCCCGCTGAAGCAGAGCGCGGCCTCGTCTTCCTCCTCCGCCGTCTGCGGTTCCCTCAGGCCCAGCAGAGCCAGAGCCGGGGCGGAAAAAGCCACCAGCCGCGGGGACCGCACCGGCGTGGGCCGCACCCGGGAGAAGCAGGCGCCCGACACGGCTCGAGGGACGTTCTCCTCGCTGGGATCCAGCGGCAGAGCCCGCAGAGCCCGGTTGTCGAACCGCAAAGCGCTGAGCCACCGAGGGACCGGCGTGGAGGACGAGGCGGCCGCCTCCATGCTGAGCAGGCGACCCGCCGCCAACCAGCCAGGCACCGACGACCCCAAGCGACCGAAGCAGCGGCGTTTACAGCGCAGAGCGGCGGCCATCCATTATTTTCGCCCTCTCGGCCACCGTCTGACAGGTCGCCTGTCGCTCAGCTCTTAATCCCACCCTTAACTTCTCTATGCAGCCTATCCCAATTTGTTTTCCAAGACACGCCTCGGGCCTTCACCCTATCCCGGCACGGGAGAAACTTAGCCAATCCGAGGACGGGATATGTTGAGAAGCGCAACATAAAAAAACGTGCCCGTCCGATCTCCATTTAATAGATTAGCAGAGTTGGGTGGGGCCTTGTAGGTCATCGAGTCCAACCCCCCCCCCCAAGCAGGAGAACCCTACACCATATTACAACAACAACAACACAACATAAATTGCAGCTTCATGCAATAACACCAGCGGAACTGCAAAAAACCGCTACTCGGAACATCATATATTTTAAGAAGATACTTGGTTGATACCCAGAACGCTGGCAGCAACCCGTATCAACCATTAGCACCAGTCATTGGTTTTTGCGACATATCTTTAAATGTTCACTTGACTGAGTTTCATGTTTAATGAATAAAATAATAACAACAATAATTTGTCAGTGCACAACTTATGTACAATGAGATTGGTTGAGCTCCCTCAGTGCACACACACCGCCCCCACCAACACAATACAACTCACAATGAGGACAGAGAATACCTAACCCAATTAATCATTTCTTACAGATGACAGTCCAGTCTCTTCTTGAAAGCTTCCAGTGAACAACTTCTGAGGGCAACTTCTGTTCCACTGGTTGATTGTTCTCATTGTCAGAAAATTTCTCCTTAATTTATCTGTCGATTTAGGTGTTTTCCAGGTGCTGATTCCTGCCAGCAACCCACCAGGGCTAAGCCAAGATGCTAGTAAGGCAAAGAGGCTTAAGAGCCCTGCAATAGTGGCTAACCCAGGATTTCTCAATCTTGGCAACTTTTAAGATGTGTGGATTTTAACTCCTAGAATTCCTCAGTCAAGATGCTGTGTAAAAAGGATGGGCTCCTGATCACATCTTCCTAGACGCTTTGCATTCTTTTTAAAATCTGATATGCATACATCATGTTCTCTTAATACTTTGTCCCCCTTTCCTAGCTCCATTTGTGCCCTGGATGCAAACTAGGATGATTCAAGTGTTGGGGGTGCAGATGCAACCAGATGTTGGAGCCTCTGTAGCTGTTTCAGAAGATGCTTCCCATGAAAGGCTGTTTATGCCCAGTTTTGCTTAGGCTGCAGGAGAGGCTGGAGTCTGACCCCAGGTGTTAGATCAGGTAAAGGAAAGGCACCCTCAGGCTTAGGCAACAACAGCTCTTTATTAAGTGAAGGTTCAGTCTGACAGCAGCCCTTTTATAGGGAGCTGTCAGACCCTTCGACCAATCAGGTTGAATCTCTGTTCCCACCAGAACAGAGGACCTTNCTTGGAATTAATCAGTTTTAACTTAAGGCCATCCAGTTATGTTCAGGTTAATCATACAACTAGTAGAACCAAACTGGGGAAAACTGTAGGTGGGACCAACCAAATTCATGTCATGGAATGACAAAGGGAGAATCCAAATTAACAATATGCTACACTTTGGATACAAAGTTGAAGTGATGCTTTAGAGTAGGCATGGTGAACATGCGGTAACTGTTAGCATTTCCCTAAAGAAAATATTTGTCATTTTTGGAGCCTCTTTAATTTGTGCATTTGCCTGACTTTGGGTAGCTACCATATGAATCGAAGAAAGGCTACATTAAGGGAGTGCCAGAAGTGGTAGCCTCTGTGTCCAGATCCATTATGAAGCATCCTTTTGACTTTTCCCTAATCCAAACTCAGACTTCAATTGCTTACATTTCTTAGATGTAATCATTCTGTGACATTTATATCCTGTTGTTCTTATAGTGCACAATAGAAGCAATGATTCATATAATCTGTAAGAGACAAGAAGTCAGTATTGAAAAAAATAGCATCCCACACTTGTAAAATGTCTCATAAAACGTACTCCAAAGAGAAAGAACTATATAATAAATCTAATTTATTCTTTGGTTAAACATCATGAGATCCAACCAAGTGCTCCTAGTTACTCCATCTGTGTGAAATGAACTCCAGCGAAGAAATTTCAATCATCTTTGGAAATCTACAGTCCCCAGGACTAGGTGAAGCCACGTTAGTGCCTCAGGAAGAAATGAAGCTGCAGTATCTACTATTACAACCTCTCATATAGATTAAATTTGCCAGAATCACAGTACCAGCTAGAGAATATATAGAATTCTTTTCTGCCTTATAAACATTGCTCACAGTCTGACTGTTCCATCAAGCATTACTCTTTTGCTCTAAGGCCAATAAGAGCATTCTCATAAGGTCAAATCCACTGTAAATGGAAATCCTTATCCTGGAGGTCTAAGAGAAGGTGTTTTATTTCTTTGTATTTTCAACCTGTTCTCATTTTATTTTTCCCCACAGCATTCTATGCTCTTTATTAGAGGGCTCACAGTGTTGGCATTATTATCCTTGCTGAAGACTACAGAATTGCTTCAGGCTCCTGTTTTTTCTCCCCACAATCCCTGCTGTGCGGTTGTTTAGTTGCGAATGCAAGCTTAGTAGTTGCTCTTTCCTTTTGCTGGCTAATTTCTCAGTGCAGACAAACTTTTTGGTAGCAACTTAATCTCTTTTCTTTCAAGACCATCTTGAAACAAAAGCCTTTTTGTGACTTGGCTTTAAGATTTAAGAGTTTAATGAGTACTGTTATTCATACTGTTCAGCTTTGGGCACCCCATTCCAGATCATGCTTTCTCAGAGGGGAATAAAGTGCTAACAAAAGCCAGGCACCAGTTTATATAATGGTTTATATCACATTACAATGCTTGAATTCATAAGGCATAGTTGTAGAATACCCTGTCCCAACTAGCCTGTTTTCCAGATGCTTTTTTTTAAAAAAAACTTCCATGTTTGGAAATGGAAGTCTACCCAAATGAAGGGTTGGGATTGAGAAAGACTGCATTAGAAGATATAACACATACTACCACCGTTTAAAGTTAACAATGTTGTACATTAGTTTATAGAATCTTGGTAATTTGACCTGCATCTTTATCCAATGAAAATTATTGTATGATGGATTGTGAGACAACCGAGTAACTGCCCCCACCCCACACTGATTTTCCATTATAAGGGTGATATTGAAGATCTTCCACTTTTGGTGCTAAGAAATGTCTAAACTTCATAGCTTGGCAGGAGCAGAAGAGTTCAGGATTTCATGGTCATTTCTTTTCACTTGCTCAGGCAGATTGTCACCTCTTATGACTTTCACAGGGCTGGTGGTCTGTTTAGGGTAATCCATTCCTAGTGCCTAATGATCCACTAAGTTTCCAATAGGTACTTGGGGAGTTTCCCAATAACTTGGCAGGCAGTTATACAGCATGCCTAGTCAAGCTCTGGAAATCAGAGAAGGATGTAATTAATCTTGGGTGGTCTCTTTCTATCTGTGAATTCCATTAAAAGAGCCTCAGGAGATGAAACTAAACAAAATATTAACAACATTTTAAAGAACCTGTCCAAATAGTTCTTTTATTTAAGAAATAATCCATGGGACTGGATTAAGTATCTACATTTTTTTTTACAAAGCCCCAAAGATATTCCTAAAATCTACATGCAGTTTAGAAATTTGTAAAACTATTTCTTTGTGTGACATGATCAAATGTAAATACAAATAATTTTCCATGGAAAATAACATCTTGGATCAGCCAGTTCCCCTTGGGATCAATGGATCCATCTATTTTTGGGCATGCCTCATTTGCATGTATTCCTTTCCTTCCTTTCCTTTCTTTTTTCCCTTACTCCCTCTTTCATTTTTAAACCAAACATGAACATTGTTGTGACAGAAGGGAAAAGAAAGATAAAATTTTCAATGTGATCAATTCGTGTGATCTTCCAAATGCATGTACAGACTAGTTGTAGCTGGCGTAGGATCTGCTTACCTTGGGCAGCTGCCCAGGGAGAGAAGAAGGGATCCTAGACTCAAAGAGGCAGATCAAATGTCTGCCAACCATGGCAGATTGTAAGCTAGGTTTTAATTGAAACTCGTGAGTAATACTACATGGCATTTGCTAATAATTATACATTTAGCAATAACTTAAGATAGACATATTGATACAGAAGCATTACTTCTGCAAGCATGGAGAGAGTTAATTTCCAAATGGTAGAGCAATTAAGCCATAAATCAATTCAACACATTCCACTCTCTTCTGAAGTTTGAAGGAGCAGGGATCAGTCAACATGTTTGAGCTGAATGCCCCTTGCATAGTTACTATTGCATGGCTGAAAGTGAAACTATTTTTTTCTTTCCATTGTTATAAATAAAGAATAATTTAAACAGGTTTGCAAAAGAGTCTTTATATGTTGTGTTTTGTCTGTTTGATGATAAACAACCTCTTCGCAGTTTATATTTAAAGTGTAAACTATTGTCCATATGATGTGCATTTCTCAATCTTAAAACGTATAAAATTTAGATCAATCTGTAATCCAAAATATAAACATATTCCAATATGGATTCTTTGCCAAAGAAATACAAATTAGGTTACTCTGTTCAGAAATTTGGCAGGTATGAAGTTTTCCAGTCTCCTCCAATCTCCAGATGCGGCTATGATGATTCAATCGTGTAAGATATGGATTAATTTTTGAGTGATATCCATCAGTACAAATCATTTGTAATTTTACAATGATTTCTTGCATGTTGTTGTTATTCTTAGAAAATGGAATTTGCTATGGGATTCTGGGTTGCAGTGGCCGTGTATGTGTGGTTTTCATCTGTAGATCCTTTATTTTGTAATTTCACAAATTTTTTAGCTAAGTATCATATTCCATATATTGGATTACTGTATTATTAATTGTTTGAATACAGATATCAATTAAATATAATTAGCTAGTTGATGATCATTTGCCAGTAAATTTTCCTAAGGATGCATATGCCACTTTGGGGAGTTGCTTTCTATTTCCTGCATCACTGATCGGATGCTGTTTAGAGAGAGCCTTTTCTCCCCCCTATTTACTGCTCTAGTGATCTGGGGCAGGAAGAAAGTAGGTTT